TGAAATATTACTTGAGTTCCATATTCATCGGATAACACATCGGAGTGCAGTTGCTCCACGAATCGAGCTCGCCGCGACATTTTTGTGTCCGTTCCGATCACAGTCCGACGTCCGCAGCTTTTTTCCGCGAATCGACTGCCCTAGCTTCCTTCCGCATTCGAGTAAGGAGGAAAGGGTAATTTTTGGGCGATTTTACCGTAATACCCCTGATCCTCAGAGCAATAAAGAATCCGCAGAGGCGTTTATGGTTCCGTAGAACCCCCTCTGCGGAACCTTTGGTCATATTCCGAATTCCTCAATCCGCAGAGGTGTAGTCTACATACGACGACCTGTTCGACAATACATATGAAGATTCAGACATGTTTGAAGATGCTTTAGGCGAAGATTTAAACTATGATATGACCAAGGAGACATGACATACAATTTTAATATGCTTTAGTTTCATTTGAATTTTAATTATGTAATTTATATTTGGATTATATATTTTTTTTTAATTGCTGAATTAGTGTTCTTTTTGTTAGTTTTATATTATTGTTAAATTATAGGTTGTTTAGTTGGTATGAAGATGACAATTTAAATCATTAAAAAACGCTCGAGGGCTCGAAAAATGTTACACTTGATAGATTGACTATTTGGTCTAAAAATAAGGGAGATAGGGGTCGAGATAGTAGGAGATAAAGATCGACTATGCATCAGATTGTGTATATCTCTTATTAAACTTTTTGAATTTTAAAACAAAATGTATAAGGTAAGTTATGATGAAAAGCGACAATTAATTTATATTGAAATTTGGCTGTAATGGGCAAAACAGGAGACGACGCACCGGCCATCGGCATTGACCTCGGAACAACGTACTCATGTGTCGCCGTTTGGAAGAATGATCGCATCGAAATCATTCCTAATGCTCAGGGATATAGAACGACACCGTCTTGTGTTGCTTTCGTTGATGCAGCACGTCTCATTGGCGATGGCGCCAAGAACCAAGCCACCATCAACCCTGCTAACACCATATTTGGTACGTAATAACCTTTTTTTCTTTTCATACATTTTATTGAATGTTGGTATTTTATTATGATTAAGCGTAAGGAAATTCCATATTTTAAGAATCATTCCTCACTCAACAGCGGAATCTGATACATTTAAGTCCACTGAAGTCTTAGATCATTGTTATAAACAAATATTTTTTGAAGTAATGTTCAGATGCTAAGAGGTTGATTGGAAGAAGGTTCAGTGATTCCAAAGTGCAGGAGGACAAGAAATTGTGGCCTTTTAAGGTGATAGAAGGTCCTTCCGACACACCAAAGATAGTCGTCTCCTACAAAGGTAAAGCCAAGGAATTTTTGGCGGAAGAAATTTCATCAATGGTTCTTGGAAGGATGAAAGAACTTGCAGAATCATACGTTGGAAAGCCCGTGAAAGATGCTGTGATAACAGTCCCCGCTTACTTTAACGATTCACAGCGTCAAGCAACAAAAGATGCTGGCACTATTGCTGGACTCAACGTCATTAGCATGATCAATGAACCTACAGCAGCTGCAATTGCTTATGGTCTAGAAGAGCCCTTCAAAATGATAGAGAAAAAGAAGAATGTGGTGGTGTTTGATCTGGGTGGTGGCACTTTTGATGTCTCTATATTGACTATGGTAGAAGGGGAATTCGGTACCTTTGAAGTGAAAGCCGTTGCTGGTGATACTCATTTGGGAGGCGAGGATTTTGATAACCGCATGGTGGATCACTGTGTTAAGGAATTCAAAAGAAAATGGAAGAAAGACTTGACACCCAACAAAAAAGCATTGGGGAGACTGAGATGTGCTTGTGAAAAAGCAAAAAGGATTCTCTCAAGCGATACTCTCACATCTATCGAGCTAGATTGCTTGCATGAGGGGATTGATTTCTCTATGAAATTCAGTCGAGCTAAATTTGAAGACCTCAACATGGAGTATTTTGATCGATGCATCAAGACTCTGGAGGCATGTTTAAGCGATGCAAAGATCAAGAAACCGGAGGTAAACGAGGTGATTCTTGTTGGTGGGTCAACTAGAATACCAAAGGTCCAATGTATGTTGCAAAAACTTTTCTATCAGAAGGAGCTATACAAGAGCCTAAACCCCGATGAGGCTGTAGCATATGGTGCAGCAGTTATGGCTGCAAAGTTAAGTGGTAACAGTGATAAAAGATGTCGAGATTTGGTGTTATTAGATGTCACTCCTTTGTCCCTTGGTATAGAGGTAAGAGGCAAAAGATTTAGCATCGTGATCCCACGGAACACTCCAATACCTATGAAAAAATCCAAAAATTATTGTACATCCCGTGACAACCAGACTTCTTTGGATATCATGGTGTATCAAGGTGAAAGAGCCAAATCTACGGATAACCATTTGTTGGGGAAGTTCACAATTTCTGGAATACCCCCAGCTTCAAAACGAGTTGCAACATGCATCGTCTATTTTGAAATAGATGCCAGCGGTATCCTCACAGTCACAGCAGAGATATTATCAACCGGTAAGATGAATAAACTCATGATTACCAATGAAACCAGAAGACTCTCAAAGCAAGAGATCGAGCAGATGGTAAAAGATGCTGAAGACTACAAACACGAGGACCAAGAATACAAAAAGAAAGTAGATGCATTCAATGCTCTAGAGGATTGCATATACGACATGAAAAATAAGATTAAGAATATGGCTTACAGTGAGAGGTTGAAGATAATGGAGCGCACTATTGCTGACACGACCAAGTGGATTGAGCACCATGAAGATGCATCCATTGATGAGGTTCAGGCAATGAAGGAAAATCTGGAGTCCATATGCATGCAAGAATTTTAGTTCTCAAATAATCATGGTTGTTAATTAAACTGGTATCTTCTAAGGTTGTCGTTTTTTTTCATTAGTTTATGCTAAACAGTGCAACTCATGAATTATGGAATGCTATTTTGATCATCCCCTCATGCGAGGCATGTATTGGTATATTATGGATTTAGAGAAATTTGCGTTCTATTTTCATATGTTGGTTATTGTTTGATTTATAATGTTCAATCATGTATCATGACAAAACGTCCAATATGGTTTATGCCACACAAGGTAAAGTTATGTTGTCCCCTTTTTTGTTTCGGTATGAGTATATGCTGAATTTACCCCAAGCATGAAGCAACCCAAAAGAGAAATGGGAACTTGTGAAAATTAGGAGCTAGTGTGCTTACTTTAAAGAACCGCAACAGATACATTATGTATTGAAGTAAATGAGTTTTTGTAATTGTAATGCCATGCTTCTGTGGACTCAACAAGACCACAAGAACCTTAATCATTTGAAATGGAGCTTCAAAAGCCATTTTTCATCGGCAAGAGAATATTAAAAGAAATTAACAGTTCCTCTTGAATAACAAACACCAGATGTTTGGTTAATATTTGTAATCTGTCATTCCTTAGGCATCTTTTTCTTTGAACCAATTTATATTTCCATGATTCGAGCAATGTTGGTAGATATTTAATTGGTATACTTACTAGTTTCTAGATTGTACTGGTTGTGAAGTTATGAACGCAAGTCTTCGTAAGAATCCTAATTGCTTTTATGACATCTATGGAGTTGATAATGGGATCATGACTTAATCCAGAAAGTAATATATGCATTTTCTTTTGACGTAATGCAAAAAGAACGACTTAATAGAGAAAGTTGCGGATAACATGTTACAAATTTGTCATGGTATATTTTTCAATTTTTCTCAAATTTTTTGTAAATGTCATGTATCTAGAAAACAACACTTAAAAGGGACTTATTTAAGCAACTATTAAAGAATGGTTACTAAGGAAAAGATTGTTGGGATTGGAAAATGAAAGGTTGATAGTAAGACGATTTGAGGGCCTTTCGGTGGTCAAAAAATATTAAAAATATATATTTTTTGAATCCTTGAAACGACACTTTTCTAATGGTGAGCCCAAAAATCGATTTTGAGACAACAAATTTCAACCAAAAACAGAGAAATTCGTGACGTGAAAATTTTTCTGGCCACCAAACGAGGCTCTGATACCAGTTGTTGGGATTGGAAAACTCTTCTATTAAGCATACGAACAAAATTTCAATAGGAGAAGCATCTCTCACACTCAGCTCCAAGACAAACTCTTTTTCTAACACTCACTCTAGTGTTATGCTATGCAACTCTCTCTGTTTAGGATGACTAACAACTAATGCTAGAATAAAGACTAACAACTAATGCTAGAACCTTTATTTATAGTAATATCAGCCACCATTTCATTTATTGTGTTCGCAATAGAGGAAAAACTTTCCATCCTAGGTTCTCTTTTGTCAAAAAAGAAAAAAAGCGGCTTCCAGAAAAAGAGGGTGAAATATAACAAAGATTACAAAAGCACAGGATATATACAAGTAAAATGTTTTTGTTAGAGTGTGACTTGGATTTTAATGCTTGAATAAGTAACTCGCTTACTCGCCCCATAAGAGCATTGGGTATGGGTCAGTGTTATAACGTCATCTTACATGCCACATCAGCCTTAACACCACCATAACACCATGCAGGAAATGGTGTTCCAATATTATAACTTGTTAAGAGGTAGAAAAAGGTAGAGAGAGAAAGAGAGAAAGAGGAAGGAAAATGATTTTGATTGGTCCTTAGTTCCCGTTTCAATAAGTGGTAACGAGCACGAGAAGTGCCATAACGAGTAGAAACGAGAAGGGGGGCGGTGTTCCCCCCGTTATAACGCCGTTTTTGGCATCCACCTCAGCCACAACGAGCACGAGATGTGCCCACACCGTATCCTCTAATGAAGTGAAGAAATCTCTACGATATGGACCCGTTTTACTATTCCAGAGTTACTTGTATATGGGCTTGGCCCAATAATGAAGGGTACAAATGTTGCTTCCATAAGAAACTTACAGCATGAAGTAGTCATGATCATACATATTAAGAACAAAAGGAGTATGCAATTTATATTAGTAAAATACTTAAATACACTGATGTGAGAACACATCAATACTATAATGTTAAGTAGTTAAACCTCCACAATTTGCCTATTCAAAACCTCATTTAGCTTCACAATTTGTGGGTGCAAGTTGTCATCAACACGAAATTCATGAACCACACCATCCACCTCAATCCAACTACATCCAACATTTGATTCTGATTCTGATTCCTTCTTTCTCTCACTCATTACTTTTCGTACTTCGCCAACTCTTTCCCATTTACTTAAAGAAGCATACAGGTTCGAAAGAAGCACTTCACTTCCAATGAAATTACCACAATACCCTTGCTCAACATACGCAATAATCTTGTCTGCAAGACTCGCATCCTTATATATCCTACAACCACTAAGCAACGCCCTCCATATAACAACATCGGCATCCAAAGGCATCTTGATTGCAATCAATAAAGCCATCTTCAAGTAGCCAGCACGACCTAATAAATCAACAAGGCAACCATAATGTTCAACTTTGGGTTTAATTTTCCATAATCTCTCCATGTTGTGGAAAATCAAAGAACCTTCATTTACCAAACCCGAATGGCTACATCCTTTTAAGACACCAAGAAGTGTGACCTCATTGGGTGCAATGTCTTCAGCTAGCATTTGATCGAACACTTGGAGGGCATCCCTACAAAGACCATGAGCTGAAAATCCAGAGATCATGCTTGTGTAGTTGCAAACATCTGGTTGAGCTATCTTGTGAAAGATTTGGTATCCAGAATCTATCATCCCACATTTTGCATACATATCAATTAGAGCAGTTAAGATGTTAGATGTGTTGTTAACAGCTGTCTTGACTATGTAGGCATGAATCCATTTTCCTTGATCTAAAGCCCCGAGATTAGCACAAGCAGATAAAGCACACACAAGAACAGCCTCGTTAGGGTTTTTTGTGTCATGAGATTGTCTTAGCATATCATGGAAATATGAAAGGGCATCGATATACCTGCCACAATCTAGGAATCCAGAAATTATAACTGCCCAAGATACTGTGTTGCGTATGGGCATCATTGTAAAGATTTCAGAGGCAATTGTGATTTCGCCTTGCTTGACATGCCCACCTAGAAGACTGGTCCATGAGAAGACGTCTCTTTCAGGCATTTCATCGAATACCTTGCGTGCGTCGTGTAGTTTATGAAATACAGCGTACAAATTTATTAGGGAGTTACCAATGTAGAGATTATTTACGTGCCCCTTTTTTATGATTATACCATGCACGATCATTCCATGTAATTCTGAGTTTTGGTGTGTGCATGACGTGATCAAGAAAGTGAATGTGAATTTGTCTGGGACAATTAAGGGATTCTCTTTAATTGCATTCAATTGGCGAAAAAGATAGATGGGTTCTGGAGAATTTTGGAGTTTGGAATAGGATCTGATCACTAGATTCCATAACAAAATCGGTGGGGGATAATCAGGGTAATGATCGAATAGCGTTCTTGCAAAAGTGAGGCTATTAGTTGATAGATAGCAATGGATTAGAGAGTCGATCAGAATGGAATATGATGTCAGTGATTGGGTGATGACTCGAGCGTGTACTTGCTTGAGTTGCAACAACGGTGGTCGCTGATTTAGCAGCTGGTTAAGTGTTTTTGGATTTGGGTTGGTGGGGATATTAGATTTTAATGAACAAAAGCTATGAGAAGCTATAAACCTGAAGAACTGCTTAAAGGTTTCGACTTTGAATCCCAAAGTTGAATGCATTTCATGGCAATAAAGATTTTAAGGGTGTACTAGCTTCTTCTGCTCATACCCGTTAAGAGTTGGTTAAAAGAAATTTATAGTACGAGCTACCATTGCCCTTAAACAAAATTCGTCCAGATGAGATGATTATATCTCGTTAAGGCATTTCAGCAAACATCTTCGGAGCACAAATTAGGGCTTCAATCCAAAGCATACATGCTCTCCGTAGAAATGGCCACACAAACATCCGAATCAAACCCAAAGTCAATGTTGTTGGTTTGACTCAAATCGTTGCATGTGTTTCAGTTGATACGGGGAAGAGCAGTCATTGGCTTGCTCGTAGTTAGTTAGGAAGGTGTTCGATGAAATGCGTGAGAGAGGTGCTTCCCGATCATCAAGAAAAAATAATGAAACAAGTCAACAACTCAAGTTGGAAATGCAACATAAACACCAAAAAAATCCTCAATAACTCGTAACTATTGGGGTCTTACTACAAAAATGTGGTAACACTTATAAAACTGTTAAAAGGCATCTTAAACCGGAACCCAACCCTAAGATTTGCAGAGAAAATTGCAAATATAGCCAAATTTCTTAATTACTTTGTGGAAAATAGTCAAAAAAAACCCAAATTACAAATATAGCCAATGATGGATTAAACTCATCTGCAATTTTAGCATTCCATCTGCGAACGTACAATTCGTTGAAGCACAGTCGTGCTTTAGCAACTTGTACGTTCGCAGGTGGTTTTTTTTGTTTTTTTTTTATTTTTTCCGTATAAATACCCTATCTTTGACTAAAATCGCAGATGAACTACGCGATTTCCTCTCATCCCACCTACGATTTTGCGTTTTTTTTAACTACAAATTTGATAGGGTTTAACTACAAAACAACATTATTATATATAAAGTTTTGCAAAAAATTATCAATTTAGTTCTTATTTCTTTGTAATATTTGTTTAAAACATCTCTAATACAATTAATTATCCAACAAAAACTTTGAAAAATAAAATCGTCCATAATGCCGAGAGAGAGAGAGAGAGAGAGAGAGAGAGAGAGATCTTAAAAAAAGTTTGAAAAATGAAAGAAGAAAAAAAAATTGCGTTTTTATACCCCTGAAAAAGAGAAATCACAGAAGTCCATCTGCGAACGTGCAAGTCGCTAAAACGTATATGTGCTTTAGTGACTAGTACGTTCGCAGATTGACAAGTAAAATCACAGATGGACTGAATCCATCTGCGATTTTGATGGTTATTTTTGTAATTTAGGTTTTATTTTGCTATTTTCCACAAAGTAATTAACATTTTTGGCTAAATTTGCAATTTTCTCAAATTTTTATAATTAACGATATAAAGTTGCTCTAGCCCAATACAATTTGTTAAATTTGATGTTGTTGAACAAATAACAATACAACATCAAACATGTATTATACTTTTTCGATTACTACAAACTCATACCAAATTTGGTCTTGCCTTCCATTACATCTCAATGTAAATGCTTTTTTTTCAAAATAAACAAAAATGTTGCATGATTTGTCAATTATTACAACTTGGTTTAGTGATTTTAAGCTTATTCATTTCTAGTTTATTAACTGATGTTTATTTATTATAAGTTTTAAATTTAATTTTTATGTTTCAAATTAAATGCTTTTTAATTTCATGCAACACTTACACAAAAAACACACATATATTGCAAATTTACAATACTTGATACAAACAGATAATTGAAATGTATCTAGTTTGTAAAAAGTTAATAGGTATAATGTTTGTTTTTAATAAACTATAAAAAGAGAAACAAAAAAAATATATACCTACAAGATTTTTTGAGCGTTAAAAATTGTTGGAGAGGATTTACTACTTGACAATTTTTAACAAATTTATGTAGAAAACAAACGTTATGTGGTGGATTCTAATGCTCCAAATATTAGGAACGTACAAGGTTATTTATGAAACCAAGAATCAAAAAGTAAATCGATAAGGTCGTTACACAAACTTTTATAATTGTATTTAGGGATTATAATATGTTATAATTTTTTAAAGATGATAAATTATAGAGATAATTCCTCAAAGCTAAATGTATATGATGAAATATTTCTTGTAATCCTTCATATTGTGGGATCATAGCAAATTAGCAAGTATATAAATTGTTTATTGTAAGGCAATTTATCCTTTCATAAGAACAAAAAAAAAAACAACAATCACATTCATGACACCATCTGAAAGAAAACTGAAACGGCTCATCTTATGCATAAAAGAAAGATCTTTTTTCTTCAAAAATCAACAACACTGCTTATTCATAAAATTATTAACAATCTTTTTCATGCTTCAAGGGAACAAGTAATGATCACCATCAACATCAACATCAAATCAAGCACTTCCAGAAGCTGATTTACGAGCTTCTTCTCGTGTCACAGCTCTCACATAAATCTCATAGCAACATCCTGCAAAAAATGAGGATGTGAGGGAAATTCATGTCTTTTGCAACAGATAAAAGACTGAGTTTGAGTCTTTGTCCAACATGTTGCTACAAAATCCTTATTATGATGTGTCATGTTGCTTGAAATTTATTTTCTTTAGAACAACTTTACATCTGTGAAACTTAGCTAAAAATGCCATGTAGGCTAAAAATAAACAAAACCAGTTTAAAAAAATATTATTTTTTTCAATTTGGGATTTGACATACCAGCTACAACTGCAATAGTGAGGTAATCTCCAATTCTTCTGATGCGTGAGGCACCTTTCCTATATGATTTAAAACGCTCTAATGCTGGGTCCTTTGCCAAAAGCTGCAAAAAGTACACATTTTCACAAGTTGAGTTTATATAATTGGCTGTAATGCTTGACATACAGACATTAATAAATTTTGACAAGGGAAAAAAACAATAGAATAACTTCCTTGAAAGTTTTGGCTATGAATAAACACAAAACATCATGTTTAATAAACAAACGAATGATTATTGCCTATGTTAAGATTACACAAACTAAACCTTGCTAGAAACAATGGAAGTCAGCTATCAGCCCCATATACACAAATGTTGTGGATAAATACTTTTGAATATTTGGAAATTAGAAAAAGTTGTTAATGCCAAAAGAAGTAGCAAGAAATTCTTGCAGTCATAGTCCCTAATATGGATTGTAGAAAGACCAGAGAAGAAAATGAATATCCATTATATCAGGACTTATGATGCCACTCATGGTACACATTACATAACTTACAGAGTTACAGTTACAGATAGGAAGGGAGATGCAGTGTTCATGAAGAGCCATGTCTTAAAGGATGATATGTTAAAGCATTATAGGTTATCATAGGCAAGCAAGTAGGCAAGAGTGGTAATACATGAGAAAGCATGAACTAAATTAGGGCTTGTTCTTACAGAGTAGCCTGAGAAATTGAAATTCAAACAAAAGAAAATCTCGACAAATAAGACATCAATGAAAATATCTAGCTTCGTTTTCGACCTATCCATATGCACATGCAATCCTATGCCAACAGCCATCGATACAAATCAATATCAAATGGGGATCAAACAAACACTTACGGCTTTCTCGCGAGCCCCAGGTTCTACATGAAGTTGACGTCTAGATTGCAACTGCGAAACCTCAGCCGCCTAAATCAAAATCAAAAATTAGTTTGAAAATACACGCATCAATCGACGAACAAACGCATAGAACAACTGAGAAACTTATAGACCGAATCAAGCGGAAAATATATAAATAGAGAGGGATTGATACCTGAGGATGATGAGAACGAAGGACAGCAAAGGTGTCACGTTTGAGAAAGGAAGCCATTGCTGCTAGCTGAGCTCGGGGGAAGGGAAAGTTGCAGATGTGGAGATGAAAACTGATCCGACGCTGGATCTTGAAAAATGAATTTGTAAGTAAAAATGTTTCCGTATCATCCCCATACTTTATCTAGTTTCCATTTACAACCCTCTACTATTCCGTCACTAACGTCAAATCCGAATAAAAACGTCACTCTCAAATAATTGAATAAATGGAAATCAAATTTGTGAATTATTAGGTTGCTATAGTTGTTTGAAGCTTTGACAGGGTTGGTAATCACAAAATAATAATAATAATAATGTAATATATATATATATATATATATATATATATATATATATAAAAGGAAAAGTTCAATAGAGAACCATAATT